AATTTTCTAATAATTTATTTAATTAATAACATTTAGATAAAATAATGTTACAATTTATTTGATTATTTTGTAAAATTAATTAATTTTATTCTTATATGAGTATGAGCATTCTAAAATTTATTTAAAATAAAATTTACCAATATTTTTTTCCATTCTTAAATTAATTAATTTTATTCTTATATGAGTATGAGCATTCTAAAATTTATTTAAAATAAAATTTACCAATATTTTTTAAACTCATATTAATATTTAAAAAAAAATCAACATAAAAGTTGATTTTTTTTTTTTTTGAAAAAGAAAACATATATTGCCGAAAACCGTGATTGGAATCGTCGATTCATTGAAACCGCATTGGAACCGACTAGAACCGGAATAAGACAAAATTGACGGTTCAACGGCCGGTTCAAGTTCAACATTTTAAAAATTTTGAACCGAAACCGAAAACAGCGGTTCAATGAATCGGTCATGTCTAATTGGAATGAGAAGGTATACATTACTGAAATAGAACTATTCATCGGTACTTTATTAAGAATTTATTCGACAAAAATTATTTTGCCCTTTCGTTTAATTGGAATGAGAATGTATACATTAATAAAATAGAAAGATTCCTAGGTCCTTTATTAAGAATTTATTCAACAAAAATTATTTTACCCTTTCATTTAATTGGAATGAGAAGGTATACATTAATGAAATAGAAATATTCCTCAGTCCTTTATTAAGAATTTATTCGACAAAAGTTATTTTGCCCTTTTTTTTACCCTTAACTCGTTAAAATATTAATAAAAATCTTTCATTTAATAAATGATCATAAAAATTATCATGAAAAAAATAATTGTTTATATATATGTGTGTGTGTGTGTGTGTGATTGTTTATATATATGTGTGTGTGTGTGTGTGTGTGTGTGTGTGTATATTTAGAAACCTTGCAAATATTTTGAGACATAAAAGAAAAGGAATAATAAGCAAACAAAATGGAACAGAAAGAGTATAAAGGTTCATTAAAAATGAGGGTAACGTTGATTTTTTAAAACATGTTAAACTAATACTCCCTCCGTCCTAAAAAGATAGTCCACTTTTCTTTTTTTGTTTGTCCCAAAACATAGTCCACTTCCTTTTTTGCATTATAATTAATTTTAAATTGTCTACTATACCCTTATTAAATTTTATCTTATTTTCAATACTCTCATTAATTCTTAGTTATTGTTTTAATATAAACAATTACTCATGTGTTATCATAGGAAAGTTATATGATTAAATTTGTCCTTTCATCATATTTATTAATCTGTATGAAAATAGAAACTGGACTATTTGTTCTTTAAATTTTATCAATCAATACCGCATACTTAGTTTTTTGTATCAATTCTAGCTTCCGTTTGTCTTTTGTCAATTTCATGCTAATGTGGCAGTTATCTTTTAAAAATGGGCCCTACACATCCAATGTCAACTCCAAGTCATATATCCACGTATACTAAAAAAAAAGTCTGAACTTTAACATTTTGATCAAATCTGGCCAGTTCTTTTAATTTTATCAATCGATATCGCATACTGATTAATCTCTATTAAATGATTTTGTTATAATAATAATAATAATAATGTATCTGAACAAACGATTCAACTCTATAACAATTATTTTTAATAATATTTTTGATATTTGATAGTCATTTAATGAAAAAAAGTAACATTTGAATTTTACAATGTAACATAATTATATGCAAACTATATAATACTATCTCTGTTCCATAATACTTGTCACATTTGAGAAAATAGATTGTTTTAAAATACTTATCACATTTGTGGTTTCAAGGAGTAATAAATATTTTTTTCATATTACCCTTCTGTATAACCCAATAATTATTCTTTAATTTAATGATTTTCTAAAGAGAATTAATATTAAATTAAGGGTAATATAGTCAATTTACTTATATTTATTGTAACTTTATACAAATTTAATTAGTTTTATTTCAGAAACGTGGAAATTCTAAAATGTGACAAAAATTCTAAATGTGACAAGTATTATGGAATAAAAATAATATATTTTTCTATAGATATTAATAAAATTAAAATAATTGAATTTATAAATCTAATAGCACTTCAAAAGGAGCCGTACACGAATTATCTCATGTTAGTGGTATATGACAGAATTGATGTATATAATTTTTTCTCTCGCTTTTACAATTTTAATTACTTAAATACAAAACCTTTAGATCAGAAGTGGTATAATTTACCGATTACACCAAATCTGTCCTTATAATAATACTCAAAACTAACTAGAAAATTTCATTACGAATGGTTGTACTATTATTTTACCATCAATATATTAGATTAAAAAAAATTAGTTATTAATGTTGGACTTTAAGATATGTATTTATTAATAAACTATTTAATTAAATAAATATCACTATAACAAAATCATTTGATAGAGATTAATTAGTGCACGGTATTGATTGATAAAATTAAAAAAAACTGGTCATATTTGATAAAAACATTAAAGTTTAAGCTTTTTTCTTAGCATATGTGGATATATGACTTGGCGCTGACATTGGATATTGTAGAGCTTACTTTTGAGAGATAACTACCACATTAGCATGAAATTGACGGAAGACAAATGAGGGTTAGAATTGATATAGAAAACTAAGTACGAGGTATTGATTAATAAAATTAAAAGAACTAGCCAAAATTGATAAAAATGTTAAAGTTCAAGCTTTTTTTTTTTTTTTTTTTTTTTTTTTTTTTTTTTTTTTTTTTTTTTTTTTTTTTGTCATTAGCCTTATTTTAAGTAGATTTTTTTTTTTTTTAATTTACAATCTAAACCTAACACAATTATACTCGTAACTTTCTACTTAAAAGTAGGTTTGACTGATTTAAAAATCAAACCAAACACTCTCTTAGTATAGATTTGGCATGCGATTAGGAGTATGATTATGTAAATTGTTAAAATTAAATATTATTAACAAAATTCTTAAATGAGGTTTATGAAGGATTTTATATAAGTTTAATTAAATTAAATAGTTAAGTATTAATTAAATGGTAATTAGTTATTTGGATAATAATAATTTTAATAACTTTTGCATAGGTTTAAATATTTTATTCCTTTTTTTTTTTCTTTTCCTGCATACTTTTGCTTTATTTCTTCATTACAGCAATTCAACGCTTAATGTATCAATTTATATTTTTCCTGGGGAGATATTGATGTATAAAAAGTGGGCTTAATTTCATCTGAGGTCCCTCAATTTTAGGTACTATTACAGTACCGTCCCTTGAATTCAATTTATAACAATAAAATCCGTCAATTTTGATCTGTGTAATAAGAAAATTCCTTTTACTTGATTTCCGGTGAAGGCACAACGGAAAGCTGAATGGCGCGATAGCATAGCTATTAATTTGATTGTTAATGCCACATAAACCTCGAAAACTGTAAACCATCAAAGCTAAGTTTTTCTCTTTCCTACCCAAATTGTTTCACCAAAAAACTAAAACAGTACTGAACAATGTCATAGCTAGGAAGCTCAAGAAAAGGGGAAAAAGGTGGAGAGTTTATGGGCTAGTGGTCTGGTGGAAGAGGGCACTTGGTTTTCCTCTTAAGATAGTGATGCTTTCTCGGTTTCTCTATTCAACTTTTTCTTTGCTTTCTTTCAAACTCAAAATCAAAAGAGCCAAACGGTCTTGTTCCTTTGCGTGATTGAATTTATCAAAACACAATAACTACTTTTCATTTTGAATTCTTCAATCAAGAGCACACTGGCAAACAAAACAAAATAAAATAATATAATTTCATAAGTAGAATTGGCTTTGCTTTTCCTATTGCGAGAAGGCGAGATTGCGCCCGTTCTTGATTTGATCTTACCCTAAGTAACGATGTTGATCCTTAATCCTAGCATATAATAAGTTTCGATTTGTTGAGCATAAGATGATGCATTTGAAGAGGCTGAATCTGTAACATACGCTTGAACAAAAATCTTGGCAGTGTTCTTTCACCTTCAACGGGTCTTTTTCCATTTTATCGGCAATATAAGTAGAAGTTGCATCATATTCAGTGACTACTTTTGTTAATGTCCGGTTACCGTATTTATAAGAAACGAGTTTTGGCGAGTGAACTATGGAGATGAAGAAGTGAATAGTTTCAAAGTGGACTCTTCCTGAGTATGAGAGATCGAATAGGAGAGAAGAGAGTCCCTTGGGAATAGGGTAGTTTTTAAGTAAAACAATGTGGGCAAGAAAGAGAAAAACTTTGATTCACAGTTTTGAAGGCTTACGTGGCATTAAAAATGAAATTAAGTTGGCACGCCACATCAGCTTTCCAATGTGTTCTCAGCGTAAATCAGGTAAAAAGGATTTGCTCGTTATACAAATTGGAATTAAAGGAGTTTATTGTTATAAATGGAATTCGAGGGATGGCGCTGTAATAGTGCCTACAGTTAAGGGACCTCGCGTGAAATTAAGCCATAAAAAGTGTTAGCTAACTTCAATTTTATGGATTTAGATCATCGATCAGTGATAGTGACTGAGTGCTATTGATTTGGGTTTTCAATATGATCAAATTGGGAAGTGGAATTAGGAAGTTGCAAAGAAAGAAATTAATGCTTGATCCATGGCTTATTTGAGATTGTCACTTGTAATAAGAGCAAAACATTGTTTTCTTTTATTTTAATTTGATTAATGTTGTTAAAATTTCAATTACACTAGAAACAAAATGATACAGGCCATTTTACTGGAGGCTGCCAAAAAAAAAAAAATCAATTTTAGTGTAAAAAAATTTTGAAAAAAAAAAATTTTAATTCCAAAAAATATTTGGGAATGGAGGGTAAGACCATTCCAAATCATGCGAATTACACCCCTGAATTTTTTTCCCTCTCTCTCTCTTTTCTGCAGCATTTGTTGAGCTGCACTACCTTGGACTCTTACCATACAAGACTAACTGAAGCACCATAAAGAACTACAATTGTTTTAATACTACTATAAGTGAACTTATATTGGTATATGTGATATATATTAATTACATATTTGCCTTGCATTTACAATAATGTTTCTCTATCATTTCACCTTGGCATAAATCCTCGTGGTGATGATGATGATGGTGATGATGAACTATCTGAAATTGCAACACCATGAAATAGATCAGATAGGTAGTTGTCCAAATCATCTGGACAAAACCTTATCAACATTTCCAAATTCTTTTGTCCATTCAGTAACACCAAATACTTGCCATAAAATTCTCTATAAGCTGGTACAAGTTTCTTTGCTATTGATACCTTCAATTCATCTCTTAACTTCCCATCTGATACAATCCATGACGTTTGTTTTTTATGTTCTTCTTCAAAAGCTGCATTGAACCTTCGAAAACATTCCTTCACTGCTTCAGGTTGTAAATCAGGGAAATTTTTGTCTGGTAGAGATAGGAAGACTTTAGTCCAAGCCATTGTTTCATAGTTGGACGCATATTTTCTAACTTTCTTGGCATGTTTCAAAACCCAATCCTCACCTAGAAGGATTCTAAGGCGAGTTGTGGTCACCATTTGAATAATGAATTGAAGATTGTTTGCCATGAACAGATATGATAAAGACACATCTTTATATGCTTCTGCTTTGCGATCAAGCTTGCATAGAAGAACTAGTATGAGCCGAGCCAGGCAAACTGAGACAGCTGGTGTAGAACCATCATCAGACATTGGAGGACTCTCAAAATAAGATTCAGGCAATGATGCATGATTCCCTGTTGGGAAAGAATCTGCAAAAATATCAGATAGAGTCGTTCTATGATCTGTAAGTGAAGAAATGTAGTTCATTGCAGTTCGAGTCAACGTGTGAATCCCACCACCAACAGCTAGAGTTTTTGATGAGTCCTTTTGAATCGTTGATTCAAAATCAGATAGAATAGCACAGACTGAGTCGCGGAGCGTTGATTCAAAATCAGATAGAATAGCACAGACTGAGTCGCGGAGCCTGAGCAGTGATGAAATGGCTTGTAATCTAATTGCTGAAGTTGATTCAGAGTTGAATGTTGATTCAATTTCTGCCCAAAGACTAGAGAGTCCTTCATGGAGTTCCATTAATGGGAAAATTCTTTCTGGTGATTTCTTGCACATGGAAATGAGTTCAGGAAATCTGAATAAATTTGTTGCACTTTCTTCAGTAATCTCAGTGAAGCATGATTCTCTAATTGTCTGAGATGCAGAAAAAACGTAATAGCAGAGAGATTTTTCTGCAGTAAATAATGTTTTCACTGCAATTTTTACTGCATTGAGCCAGTTCTTTATCAGATAGATGGTCAAGAGCTTCCCAATTCATTTTTCGAATTTGAGAAAACCTGAACCTTTCAACTCCAAGCAGGTATAGTCCTTCATCTACTATCGATTTTCTGAATAATTTGTACACTTTGACGCACTCTTTACTGTACCCAGAGCTTATCATACAATCAACTATTGACTTCAGATCAGACCTCGTAGTGATCTGTTCTTCAGAACCTTTCTCTTCTTTGCTTTCAAGATTGCTCGAGCCATCTGAGGATAGACCTGAAACAGACTCAGGGTCAAGTTGATCACGCTGAAATGAGAGTATCAGATACAATTCTTTTTCAAGTCTTTTCATGGCGATTATCATAAGGTTTTGAGCAAGTACAAGCTTATTAGAGGCTGAATGTTCTGATACTAAAAAGTGCATTGCTCGGCGAAGACGTTTGACACTTTTTAAGAATTCTCTTGCTTCGTCTCTGTGTTGGAAGAGGGAGGTTGATGAGGAGTTTGGATCCCATCTTGCTTCGTCTCTGTGTTGGAAGAGGGAGGTTGATGAGGAGTTTGGATCCCATCTTCTGATGATTAACTCTGCGTTTTCAATGTTCTCTTCCATCATGGACTTAGTGAATTTGTATACAGTAGGTGAAGAAGGAATGGAAGAGGTTGGAAACGAATTAGAAGATGAAAGAATTTTGGAGGATAAGAAGAAGAGAGTTGACATCCGTTTTTTCGCCATAAATGTGTTGATATTACTCCTTGGAGTCTCTGTTAGAAGCATTTGCTTTTATTTTGGAGTGTTCATTCTGAAGAGAGGGAGACAAGGAGTGATTATATTATATAGAGAAGGGAGACATTAATGAGTTTGCTTTAAGCACTATTAGACCAAGATTCGTTGACTTGCTCAGTTGGTGCGTATCTGTCTAGAAGGAAGGGATTGTTTACATGGTACGTAGACTTTGTTTTTTCTTTTTTCTTTTTTTGTCAATTTTATTATATTATGATGAAAATGATATTCAAAGGATTAGTGCAGAGAGGGAAATTTCAACTATGAAATTTCTGACATGTTACATGAACATATATATTTATTTTCTATTTAATATATAAATCTATCACTTGTGATTTTCCAGGAAAATTGTATCCTCCATGGTCTCCGGTCCCAACTCTAGAAGGCTTTGATTCTTCTGTACGTATAATGGTCTAGTTGTAAAGGTATATTTGCATTTTCTAATTTGATCACAAATAAGTTAATAACGCTTAGGAGGATAGGCCAAAATTCATTTTTTTTTATCCTTCATTACTTGCATTTTGATATTGATATGGTAATTGCATTGAAATAAAGTCTAGCTTATCGCCAGAACTAGTAAAATTAGATTGATTGATTATTTTAAAAGAAGTTAATTATTGTTCCGAGTACTAACCAACCACATATTACATTAATATTTTAGGTACAGAAAGTAGAAATCTTAAAAATTATTGTTACTAATGTAGAGATGTGTACAATATTATCAAAACTCGTAAATTTAAGAGCATATATACTACTATAAAATTTAAAGAGTTAAGTTTTTTTAATATATATATACCGTTATATTTCAGCACTACATCGTACTAGTGAAAATTTTCATTGTAATGATGTACCAAAAGCCCCAGACAGAAAAATGTTGATATCTAGAGCCTTAAAGGCTTGTTGATATTATGTGCTTGGTACGTATTAATATTGAAACTAGTCGTAGTCTCGCGCTTTGCGTGTGTGTTTATAAATCATTAGTAGATATCAAGTTTTATATTTTAAATGATCTAGTCAAAATTTTAAAAAAAAATAAAATAAAATAAAATTTAAAAAAATAAAAAGTTGAAAGGAGATAACGTATTAAGTTTAAGTTTTAAATGTTGAAGAAAAATGTGTTGAAGTATTAGTATTTATTTAGTTTTAGTTTTTATAATTAGAACACGTGAAATTCATTCTAAAACTTATTTTAATGATTTCTAGTTAATAATTTTAACAAAATATTTTTCTTAAAAGCAATTCATATAATACTAAGTAGGGTGGTTCATCCCTTCTCTAAAAAAAAGTAGGGTGGTTCATCAAATTACCTAAACCGCTCAAATCGTTTTGAAATCAATCCAAACCAATTCAAAACCGTAATTTTAAAAGATTGATGATTTTTTTTAAAATTTAAAAACCAAGCTTTTGGTTTGGTTTATGATTTTGGAGTCAAAACTATCTAAACCAAACCAAATCAAACTGTTATATGCGTGTGTTTAAACTTTTAAATTCAATTTAATTTTTTTGAATGAAAATTTTCTTTGCACTAATTAATTTCTATTGGATAGTAAATGATGAGACTAGTTTATATTGGATAATAATTGAACAACGATTTCTCATTAATTAGATAAATTATATAATTATTTATAAAAAGGTTCAAATATTAAAGAATCATGTAAAATTAGATCACTGCATATTAACAAATTATGTGTGAGTAAAATTATATTTTTTATAATTTTTAGTAATAAATGCAAAATAAATCAATATTTAAATTTTGTATTTATAAATGGCTTACGTATTGTGTATTTTGCAGCATAATTTTTATTAATTCATTTTTCATATTTAGCGTAATGTTAATCTTTTTCTTTTCTTATTAACTAGATGATCGAAAAAGTTTAATTTTTCTACTTTAAACTGTGCAAACCGTCAAATAGAACCAAATAAAATTAAATTGCCGCTAAAGATTTAATTTGGTTTGAAATTTTTAATGATTTTAGGAATGTGATTATTATTTTTCCTTGTTTTTTATACTTTTTTGTTAAATGTCTTGTGAAAAAAAAAACTAAAATTCCTAATATAAGCCTTATAAAAAGATAAGGGTATTTTCCCTTTTTTTTTTTTTTTTTTAAGGGTATTTTCCCTTTTTTTTTTTTTTTTTAACAATTACATTAACGCAAAAACGAAGAGACTAAACAGGTCCAAATTATGTTATATCATGCTCTTACATTTTATTATATATATTATAATAATATATATATTATAGATTATATATAAAGTCCGAATACCATAGATTCAACCTCTAAACTTTGTTCTTTAACCTTGTTGAAATGTATATATAAAGTCCGAATACATAGATTCACCTCTAAACTTTGTTACTTTAACCTTGTGAAATGTAATATCTTTAGTTTTTATTTTGATACATCAAACATTCAACTTATAAAACTACATCTATTAAACATTTTAATTTTCAAAATCATTTTATTGAACACTTCAATTTGCAAAATTAGATAAATTAAAAAAATCATTAAAAAGTTGAAATTTATAAAAATTACTATCTCAAAAGTCTTGCTAACTATATATCAAGTCTATATTTTACAGATAAAAGCTAAAATCATTTTATTGAACACTTCAATTTGCAAAATTAGATAAATTAAAAAATCATTAAAAAGTTGAAATTTATAAAAATTATTATCTCAAAAGTCTTACTAACTACATATCAAGTCTATATAAAAAAGTATGTAATATTATCAAAATTTACAAGTTCAATTGCGTGTAGGTCATCCGTAAAGTTTAGAGTACCATAATATTAAAATTGCAAAATTTATGGGTGAAATTACATATTCAGTCATAAAAAAATGAAGAAAGAATGTGGATGAATTATAGAAAGATCAATCATTCTCAGTTTGATCCTTTGCATGTGCAATAGATGTGATGTGTTTCAAATATGCTAAATAACCTGTAATTAATTTACCTTATTTAATCATCTTCTATTTAACATGTGATCATTTGCTTTAGACTTGCCAAAACAACCTCATAATATTCAACAACTACACAAATATTCCAAATTGGGGGGAAAAATAAGTCAAAGGAATTTTTTAAGAGAAAATGACTTAATAAGAAATACTTTAATTGTAGCTTTCAACATTGTAGACAAATGGGAAATAATAATTTTAGTGCCTAAACTTTTCATTTTTTTTTTTTTCTATTTTGGTTTCTGCACAGAAAATACTATCAATTGACTGCACGAATTTTTTAAAATTTCTATTTCAGTATCTCGGTCTGATTTGGCTCACCGAAAATATGAGTGTGTAATTGTGGGACCCATTATTTCATATCTGGAAGTTGACATGGCTTAAATGAAATCCAAATCAATGTGCCACGTAGAGTCCACACGGACATGCTATTGAATTCTCTAATTTGTCTTTTAGAACACCCAATTACTTCTATTTTCTCTATTGCAAATCTATACGATACACGTCAGCCATCAAATGGTTCTTCATAAAAGATTTTCAACTGCAACTCCTTCTGAAATTAGTTAGAGAACCATAATCAAGAAAATCCAATTATTATCTCAAATCTCTTTAATTCTCGTACAAAGAAACAACTAGATCCCACCTTTTGATAACCTCATCTCTTCTCTAAGTTAACCCCTTATTTTTCCCTCCAAATCCAATTGGTCGACAGAAGCTGCAACCACCTATAGTTGATCGACAGGATAGATAGAGAAAGAGATTGTTGGGCAACAAAGGTTAAAAAGGTCAATTTTATTAAATCCACATTAGATTTGGCTTATGTGGCAAATCTGAAGCTCTTTTTTTCCATATTAGTTACCACGGAATAAAAACGTAGGTATCACAATTGTACAATCACATTTTCGGTTAGCCAACTAGAGATATTCAATTGTAAAATTTAAAATATTTGTGCACGTAATCGATACTTTTTGAGGATCTTCCATGGTTGTAGAGCTTTTTCTTTTATGTGTATATTCTGATAGATCTTGATCTTATAATATGTTCTTCCAGGTAAACGAGCAGCAATAAGCCACCATCTGCCAAAAACAAATAAATTATTTATTCTTGAGAATAAAAATAAATAACTCAATTGAGATTTTGTGCATTTAAACCTAAATCTAAAAATATATACTTGTTTCCAGACAAGCTGTGAAGGTTGATGATGAGTTCATCTTCTTCAATGTTTTAGCCATAATGAAGATGCTGAGAAGTGAGAAGATTAACAAGGAAATGGGTGTTTCAAAGGGCAACTTAGAGAATTCTATACCATGCCCAAGTAGACTCCATATGGCAAGCTGATTTGGACCTCAATTAAGCCAAGTCAACTGCCATATGTGAAATAATGGGTCTCACAATTACACGGTCATATTTCTAGTGAGCCAAATCAAACTGGAACACTGAAATAGAAATTTTTAAAAGTTCATGCAATCAACTGATAGCATTTTCCATTCATACCCCCAAAAAAATGAAAAGTTTAGGCATTAAAATTATAAGCATCCCTAGATAAATATGTTTGTATAAACCATTGTTCCACTCACTTTCTCTCAATTTGTTATATTTTCATTAAACGCAAGCACCAATAAAATGTTGGTTGGAGTGGTAAATGATTTCAATTCTGGTAAAGATGCAAGTTTAGTGCATTTTGTTGTGAGGCTAAAAACTTTTATATTCTAAGGTCTGAATGAGATTACACGTCCTGATTTTTAATAGCTCAAGGAGTGGGGGGATAAACTAGGAGTTATTTTACTTTTTTAAATTCACCCCCTGACTTTGTTACTTTAATTTTATGACACCCTCAATTTTTATTTTGATGTATCAAACGCTTCAAATTATAACGCTACCCATATTAAACACTTTAATTTTTGAAATTATTTTGTTGAACACTTCAACTTGCAAAACTAGATCAATTAAACACTCATTAAAAAAATTGAAATTTATTAAAAATTATTATTCTAAAAGTTA